CTTCCTATCAAGCGCAGTCTTTGAGTCTCGTATGTGCATGCGGGAGGCAAAACGCAAGAACCGCTGTGCCTATGGCAGCTAAATGCCCTGGAAAGTCGAAAATGGGTTTAGCACTATGGCCAACTACTTCAGCCTTCGACCTATGCACCATGACATAATCTTACTTATGCCATAGGTGGTCCGTGGAAGCTGCGCAGGTGGGCACAGCTACGCACTCTGTAGTCCAAACACCTCTACAAAAAGCAACGCCTGCCCTTCTTCACAACGGATTTCTGTTTGGTGAGCCTGAGAGAATTGGTTTTCAATAGCATGAGCGACATTTTTCATGCAACTGTGGTGAGTGCTTACTAGTGAATGCAATTGACGTTTCATTTGAAGAACAAGAGGAATAGGCAGTATCAAGGAGAGCGTGGCAAATGTGCTGAATAATGGCGGGCTGCCGGCCCACTAGCACCATGCTGACCGTCCACCGCAACGCATCTAGCTGATTCCTGACTCAGCCCCAAGCTATGTTTTGCAGTATTAAAATCCGCGTAACATGGAGGGAAGGCTGAGCTTTAGGCAGGTGGCTTGTTAGAAATAGCTAAAGTCCAGGAATTGCCTAGCGCCCTTATGCATCGCCCGGTGTGGATGCCGGGAAACGACGGAAGAAGGCGTCTGAGTGCCAACTTTAATGCCCCCAACACGACCTCTGAAGAAGAAGCTGTCGATGGCTCGATTAGGCGAACTAGCCTGCAACATACACGGCCTAACAGTCTATTCGACAGCTGATCTCCCTCGCATATACCTTCTTACAATCCTCATTCAACCTGATGGCAGGCATGAAAATGTTTTTCCATGCCAGAATCTGCAAGCTTGAATATAGATATATGCGTTTGTTCTCATTACTGCCTCAGTTGAGATGTAACGTCAACTTCATCAATAACTTCAGTAAACCTTTCAAAGAGGGCTGACAGGAATTTTGCATGGAGGATGCCTGAGGATTGAGTCAAGACGTCTAAGACCACCTACGACATTTATGGCACCCGAATCAGGTACTGTGGGAACTACTGTAGATGGGGCAATGATATGGGAAGGCATGCAAGTGTTTATTTCTCATCAGAGCACCTGTGTTCCTGATAAATTCCTTTTCGGATGTAGGAATTGAACAAATAGTCAAAATAATTGTCGTGGGACTTTTACCTTGGCGCACACCCCAGAAAAGCTGCGAATTTCTGTGCTCTTGCACATTTCAATCAATCTTTCATTTTTGGACACGCTCGGATCCTTATGTTGTTGAGCAAAGTTGTTATGAAAATTCAGTCTAGGACCTGCAGAGAGTAGGCTGATGCTGCCCAAGGGATGCATGCCGGCGGCCTTAAAACTTACCCCCTACTTGCGCTGCCTGACACTGTTTCCTCCTAACAACCGATATTCGTGACATAGCGGTAAGTGCTTTCTCTCTAAATACATTGCCGTCTCTCCAGAGCATACACGTATTTCTTGTTGCTCTAACCCCTTCGCCAAAATTGGAAGTGGTACTCGGTGCGGGAAAAGGAGCTTTATGCGGCGTGGCGTGGCACGAAAAATGCAGGCACTATTTTATGGGCGTCCTTTCACTGTCCAGCCAATTCGTCAATTTGCAATGCACGTTGCACAGAGATTACAGGACTTTGCTTATTTTAGAGTTGTTTGCTGGCTTGGGCGCTTCTTGCACTACGATACTACAGCGAGGTATATCACGGGCATCACCAGCGTGGTTGCTTACGTGCTCTCGCGACGCCTCAGTGATTCACTGTTGTGCAGCGCAGCCACTTGCAACTACAAAAATTCATGGCTTTTATCGAGAGTGCTTGAACTTCTTGCCTTTGACATCCATGTATGCGCCACTGTTCCCAAAATCAGAATGACAAACAGCTGAAGGACGACCACGTCTAGGATAGCCTGTTGTGGTTCAAAACAAGCAATGACACCATCACCTGTGCACTCTGACCTTGCTCCGCAGTGCCGTTTTACGCAATGTTTATGAACATGGTCTTTCGAAACACCATATGATTCAAGATGCAGCGGAACATCATTTACGGTCCTTCTGGTGGCCTGAGCACAACAGAGCAGTATGCACTGTGCTGCCCAAATTGCTAGCAGCTAAAGTCACGAAGGTCTCCTAAACACGACCTTTGTGCAAGACCAACGATTTTCTAAAGAGACTTGAACTGTTCTGACTACCAATGTTCTTTGTTGGACTCCTGGAGGTCAAAGGTCAAGATAGCAACTACGCCATTGTTGACGGAATCAGCAGCTTTGCCCATTTCCTCCCGTGCTTCAACTGCGTAACGGCTGAAAAAGTTGCTCAATTACGCTTGCCTCGTGCATAGCAGCTTCAAGATTGCCAAGGCGTGTCATTTTGGGTGGGGACCCGAATTTCGCTAGTGCATTCTGGCGTGCCTGTACGACGCGCCTCATCGACAAGAATACGACCGCTGTGAACCACCCTGAGGCAACCGGTAGCTGGTGTACACCAGCCGTTCCCTTCTGCAGTATTAGCCACCCATGCTCACAGACATCAACTGTTCGGCACGATGTTCTTCCTTGTACTGAGTCAGCATATATGTATACTTACCCCGCACTTTTGATATAGCATGGGGGAAGAATCTTTGATCGAAGCGTAGGCCAGATGGCCGAGGCGGTGAGGGGGGCGGGTCACCAGCAACCGTTGGCAGGGGGGAGGTTCACAGAATAGCTGCCTAGTGGGCGCGAATCTATGCATGAAGCCTGACACAATCACGTAGCTGCAATAATCGGCAGTTAGCTGTGTGTTTTGATCTTGGATATGCGGTTCTGGTGGATATGCAGGCCTACAGGATGCAACAGACGGTGATTGGACGAAGAGGCTTGTGCCCAGGTGACTCGGACCATTCGCAATTCTACCGCGATTCACTGCTCAGAATAGCGCGCTGCTTTCTCGTAATCCAACAATGCTCAATTGCTACTAATAATGGTTTCCCAAAGAAGTTCCAAAGATATCCGAATTACTCCTCGCAGGGAAGCGAGTGGAATTAAGCTGACGCATCCACAAGCAGTGTGACAGTGCTGGATTCCGAGACTATTAAAAACCAAAAACACTCTAGTAGAGAGTTGCTGACGAAATATAGTGGCGGCATATTCCAATCTTAGTGGTTGACAAAGAAGTAGTTGTGGGTGTCGTTGCCTGCAACAGAATTCGTGGCTTGGGCTACTTCACAAGGCGAGTCGCAATGGGCGATACCTCTCTCATTTCCTAATACTTGTTCTTGCCTCAAGCTTGTTTTGTGACTAGAATGCAGCTCAATAGTCATCAAGTCTTAAAAAGCAATACCCACTCATGATCTTAGATGTGTTCTCTACGCTCAGAATTGTGCTTGCACAATTTCAATTACCCCATATTTACATGCATGCTTATTCCTCCTAATGGGATTGTAGAATTTACTCTGCTGCATGAATTGCCTGTTTTAGTATGCAGGAATATCTTTATGAGGAGCGGAAGAGCTGCCGAACTATCGTGTACTTCGATGCACGTTACACATTTTACTTGTCCTAGGTTCTGTAGTAAGAGGCCGTTCACATTTTAGCACTCTGAGGACAACCAAGCGTTGGACCACCACAGTCGTGCTGGTTTGCTTCTTGTTCGCTAGTGGATACTCTGCATCTCTCGCTTGATTTCCCTCCTTAGCTGTAGGTGCGCACTGCTTTCCTCTTGAGCACTGCTCTTCCCGCTTATACTTGCGTGCGAAGTGGTTTTAAGGCAAAAACTCTTTCGCTGTTGCGTATGCAGTTTGTCATGACGTACTGATATTCTGCTCAGGTAATTATGAATGATCGGACTGCCTCACCGGTGCATTCATGGGCATTGTAGTTGACACTTCCCCTTAAGAGGGCAACGTAGGGGAGCGGCCAGAAACACGGAACAACTACAGGAAGACACATTGATGGAATTTCAATAACCTTCTATCAAACGTGTATTGAGTTCGAAGTTGAGTATCTTCGTAGGACGATCTTGAATAGAGCGTAACAGTAGGTGCAGGGCGACTCGGCGTCTTAGTGTTCTGTCGACAGCGGTTGATAAAAGCTCATACAGCGTTCCGTCTATATCACGTGATAAAAGCCTAGATACGAGGCTGCATCCACTCCAAACATACGTTGTTTTACTTCAATACACTTGCTTGGCGTGCATAAACGCAAATACAGTCTTCGCACCTGGGCTGCTTTCTTGTGAAGGCATTGCACGAGAGCCATCGGAGTGGAAGATGGCCGACTTCACACCTTGCAGCGTAAGATTAATTTTAAGACTTAACCCTAGGATGTATATAGTGTCTTGATTGCCGAAGCGGAGTGGTAGGGAATGAAACTGCAATGGAGTATCTGGTTACTATGATGGATCGCTCTGCAGTGCCGCAAGCCTGTAACTTCAGCATAATAGAGCGAGAACCCTCTGTAGTGAAGCTCCACTAAATGCACGAACAGATGCTGCAGCATTTAAGGTCTATAGAACATGATTGAGGGGGCTAGGTGCAGTGCACTTGTTTGAAACCCCACATCTACGTCGGCTTGGTGAGGCTGGCTCGATCCGGATCATTGACCAAGATGATCTTCTGCAGTAAGGGGTTCAATTTCAAGTTGTTCTATGATGGAGGTATGTACTCCATTTTAAAAGCACAACAATGATTTAATTTGACAGAGAAGTGGAAAAGGCGCGAATACGACTAGCACAGCACGAATGGATTCATCGAGATCTGACGGACATATAGTCACATTTTCATTGCTGAGCATGCAGCAGCTCTCACTACACTGCAAGATATTTTGAGCCAGTCAACCCGCCAACTAAATACGCCATGTATAACATTGCTATCCTGTTGGATCTAGTAGAGCCCTCGGCAATGTGGGCATTTCAGTCTACCTACTTCGTCTTATCGAGTCTACCGGCGCAAGCAACAGCTGCTTTTCAAAAGCACGCTCGAGTCACCCCCATGTAAACCTTAGGGCGGATGGCTGTGAACACCCTTGATGGAATGCATGAACCTGTTGCCTTGATGTCGAGTGACGGACCCTTCCACGTGCAGCACACTCAGAAGGCATTGCTTCAGGTCCCCTCCCCTCCTCTCCCTAATCCTTCTGCAGGCCCTAACTCAAACCCTGAAGAAGAAGTGAAAAGGTTGAAATATTTTGGCTCAAGCAACAGGTGGCGGCGCCACAAAACTTTCCAGCTTCTTACCATTATTACATCTGTTGTGTTTTTCATATGGACAATGTATTTGTGTCGGCTGAAAGGTAGGAACGAATACAAGGTAGCGGCAGTAGATCGCAGGCTGGCTAGTGGCGAAGCAGGAGGTGAGGATGAGGGAGCAGGACCGAGCTCAGATCCAAAATTGTGCGAAGGGGCAGAGGCAGTACTGGGCACAGAGCCAGAAGCTGAGGCAGCAGGCGAGCCAATGGCAGTATCAAATCCAGCACAGACAACAACGCCTGGAACCAGAACGGGAGAACAGCAGCCGAGAAAGAGGAAGAAGAAGTTGAAGCACCTGGAAGAGTCAGAAAAGGAAGTAGATTCATCCGCCAAGAAAACCAAACACGTTGAGGCTTGGATAGACCCACTAAAACATTTTGAGGAATTGTTTCAGGCCGAGATAAACCTTGGGCCAGGAACGCCCTCCAGCATCGAACTCAGTCCTTTCAGCCTGGGACAGTATTTGTTTCCTGACTCCCCTTCAAGCCAAGAAGATGTGCCTGGGTTCCTAACTGGCCACGGCGAGCAGGGTGTTGAGGAGGCGTCTGGGCACATTACATCACCATATAGTAGTCCAGCAATACCTGAGGATGAACCCTTCCCTGACATCCTTGAAGAATTCTTGGAAGCAGAAGGATCACAAGAAGAAGAGTGGCTTCAGCTTTTCGATGAGAATCTGCTTGGTGGTTCCGATTCTGCACCGCTAGTCGAGGACCAGCCAGGAGCACCGTCGACAGTCAAGCAGCCCCTCACTACGCAAATGGGTGAAGGCACCTCTTCCCTATCGCAGGAGGTATGTGCCTTGTCTTTTCGGTAATTGCAGCATTGCAATTAGTGAGTTTCTTCAGGTTGACCCCTTTGTCCACACGATAGCAAGCTGCATGTATGGCGTGCTGACGTGGCACTCTGCTGTTTGCGTCATGCCCATATTATTTTCAGGCAGGCCCAAGCTGTGAGCAAATCTGGGCCTCACCGCAGTTCACCTGTGCCTCACCAGTTCCTCAGGGTTGGATCCCAGTTGAGCATAACCTTTTGTGTGCCGCAATGTTTGTGCCTTTAGGCTAGTTCCTCTTTCTCCGATACCAGTCCTGCTGCAGGCAGCAGCTTGGTATCCATTTTGTCGAGTTCATCGCCTGAATTGGCCCGGCACCCATATTATCGTGTGCCGGTTGGAGACCCAGGAGTGACGCTGCCGCCATTTGACCCATATCATGCCCTGCGAAAACGAGAAGCATGGCTTCCAAAAATTCTTGGTGACGTTCGACAGCTGCTTCTCAAGTCACATGTATCAGAGCAAGAAATGAAACTGCTCATGGAGAGTGCATATCGTCTTGCTCAATATTCAAATAAGGCTTTGTCACAACCGATGAAGGATGAGCTCATGACTGATATGCTGTATATCCTCGCTCGTCGGTTTCTAGTGGCGGATGCCTTGTGGTGTATTAGCGAGGTCCTGGGTCCCTCAATGAATATGCATCTGTGGTGGGGTCAATTTATGGAGCCATTGGCGAAGCACGTGAGTGTTCGCCATAGATCCGCGTCGCGTTCAGGTCTGAATTTGAAACAACTGGCGCAACGCCTAGTTGCTGCGCTACAGCAGTACAAGTTGGGTCGGCGCCCTCCTGCTCAGCAAGTGATTGAACTAAAACGCCAAATATTTCGCCAGCCCTGCTCCTGCCCCGAGTTTAGATCACACACGTGGAATCCTTGGCGAGACGATGACACGGGCAATGACGGACATTCATAATGCCGGAAGTCCAGAAAGGACATCTGAGCATGAGAAGCCGACAGAAAGCCCAGTCAAAATCGGCTTAAATGCATATGCATGTGTGATTTGGTGTGATTCGTTTTACTTTCTCCTCGGCCAGGTAACTCACTTGACCTAGCTTATGAATGATTGACGAAATGCCACACTGAATACCCGTGCGAACCTTGTCCTTTTGCTTGAATAATAGTAAAATATTTGGCGGAGGCATACATTTGCAATCGTTTTATTCGTGGAAAAGGCGGCAACTCTCTTTATGTAGAGTGGCAATGCACTCTGCCTCGTGTTCAGATCCAGTTTCCTTGCAAACTCGTTGATAAGGTCGAGTTGTGAAGCAGAGTACTGTTTTGGAGGTTACTTTCCTAGCAGCGATACATGAAACAACGTGTAGAAACGACGAAAAGTGGCGAACAAGAAGAGAGGCAAATGTGACGTTAGCCATATTGTGTTTTCTGCGAGGTCTTGTAAACATTAACAAATTCATTGGAAGTAGCTTCATAGTAGTATAGCTTGGCTTGGGGAAACCACTGAATTCATGAGGATATTAGATCATACTGGACATAAGATTGGATTGCTCAGCCAGCACAATAGCTCCGAAGGCGTCCCACCTTCACTCGGCGGAATAGCTGCTGAGACAAATATCAGGTATTGTGGATATCGGAGAGGATCAGAGCATGTTAAGCAGTGCCACCTGGTGAACAGACGAAATGCGTAGTCGAAGGCAAGAACAAATTTTTAATTTCAGGTTGTCCACATGGGGCGCAGCCCAAGGCGTCTGGACAACACGTTGCGGTGCAGTTTCGAATGCGAAATGCGCATCTCGGTGTAGAGCAGCAAAACCACCTGCAAGAAGGCTTTCGACCACACTACTTATGATCAATAGGTTGTAGTAAAGGATTGTTGAATTAGTGTCTACATTTATTGCACACTAGAGTCGGCTTGGCACAAGAACACGCAGTATGATGTACCTGCATGTCAAATGCTTCGTGCGCTAGCTCTAGGTACTGAGACTATACATGGGATGCAGCAGGACGCATCGTAGCCGGCCCCCTGCACTAATGCTGGAAACTCATAGGGAGGCGAGCAGTGGATAGACCGAGCTTTTTCGAGACAACACAATGACTTTATACTCTGTGTAAGTGGATTCTGAGAGAAAGCGTCGTTTTGTGGGAACCTTTTGGTGGAGAGTTACAGTTGATTGCACCGCATAGTTCGTTGTAGCTTCTCTCCGCTTCTCCACTGGCCGTAGATGTAGTGGGATTTCAGGTCATTCTACAACAGTTGTGTTGTACCAAACAAGCTACCCGATTATTTTGTTGGTTAGGTTGTCTGGAGGCGGACTGGACAATCGTCCCTTGGAGGTTTTAATTAGCAGTGTCACAACTTTTGTGGGGGAGGCAGAGGCCAGCCTGTGCCATCCCACAGCTGGTAGAAAGGCACGAGTGGGTGTGTAGCCGAATAAAACGTATATGGGTGCCTCGATGATGCTATCGTGCCCCAATAAAAAATGGTGGCCGTAATTTTGGGCCACTACTAAATATCTGATCGGCAGGTGGGAGATGATGTACGCCTTGGAACAGGAAGGACTGCCCTTTGTTCCACATACTGGAGGAAACTCAGTTCAACGGCGGCCCTATGCACGGTAAAATAGTGTGTATGCACAATTGACTATATTTAATTTCTTGATGAACTGCATCATCGTGTTTTGGGTGATGAGCTCAGCGCCAAGTTTTGGGAGAACCGAGAAGGCTTGAGCAAAACAAATCGTCGAGGCCGCAACGTACTCAAAACGCTGCTGTAGCAATGGCCTATCTAGGAATCACCGAATCTTTCGTGTTGCTGGTTGTAGGACAGGCGGCGACTCAGCGACTAAACAACCAAACAGTCAGGCCGCTTAGGCTTCTTTAAAGTTATGGACTATTGTCTCTCCCTTAAGCAGCTTGCTTCCGATTGGCCGGGTGTCTTTGTTCAGAGTTTCGGCGTTTGTGCGTGTGCTCGCACTTCTCCAATATACGAGTGGCTATGCTAAAATAGAAGCAGGCGCGTTGATTGGGGGCCGTCTGGGGCTGCTTCGGAATTCAGGTTTACTGAGGCTCTCTTTTCCCGTCCGGTTTCGACTGTTGACTAGCACCGGAGAAGTGACTCTCACAACCCACCAGTTCCTGATTCCCATGTAGCGCATTTGTATCAACACAACACGGCGAAGTGGACTCATTTGATTCTGACACATGATGATGTACATAGCTTGTGGAGGCCCTAGTGGTTGCTGGCTTGGTAGCTGAGGTGATGTCGCCCTGCGACTACCTGCTGTGGCTCTCCAAGTATAACTGTTGTAAACCAATGGTAAAGCAGGTGTTCGTGCGTGTCAAGGCTTCTGATATTCAAAGTTTCACGTTATCGATTTACCAATGCAAGGTTGCGTTATGCGGATGTCGGCACGAGCCGAGGGGTCAGGGCCTGTATGAAAGCTTGAGCTGTGATGGTCCTCCCAGGCAGACAAACTTCTCTACAAGAAGAGCCCTACCATTGAAGTGTACTACCTCCGACAAACGTGCTGCAATGAATTCTAGCTACTGTTGAAGTGTGGGGTACCATGCCAGCAACATCTCCAACCAGCCAAATAAATTTATACGGCCTGCTCGGCAGTGCAGCTGTCATGCTTGTCTGGTCAGCATGAAGTCATCGATGAGTCCATAAATATTACATTGGCTCCGAAATTGCGCCTTTCTACCAATGACGAAGCTACTTTGTCTACATGAGCTTGAAGGCAGGCGTTTGTCGCGCCAACAGAGGTTGTCCACCGTCAACTTCCACCACCATACGGTGCATCCCTTTGTCCCTCGTTCCAGTCTGATACAAAAGACAACCAGGCAGCAAAAGTAACAATTAGCCTCAGTCAAACCAAACAATTGTTCTAGAAAAACCTGATAGCTCAATGCATCCACGGCAAGTGAATGAGAAAAGAAGGATTGCATTGATTCATTCGGTGCTACCAACTGCAATGCTTCAACTTAATTTCGTAAGAGAGCGCTCAGCTCCAGATTCAATACAAGCTGGATAGAACGTTATTGAGTAATTTCCGTAAAAGCCACCATCTCTCCCTCCGGCGACCCTCAGAGATCCTAACATTAGGAGACATGGAGGCTTGGCGCAGCCCATCTCCTATGCATTCTTGGCATTCACGCCTAGTGCACAAAGCAATTAGTGTGCAGGCACACAACATTGAGTCTTGTTGGAGCATGCCAAGGCTACAGCGGGACATATTCGTAGTGAAATTCTTTACCAATTCCTTATTGTCTATAAGTAGCGTAATGATTTGTTGCTGAGTTCAGCTTGGCCCGCTACACTTGGAGGTGCAGCTACGTGCACCTCAACATGCCCTTTCCCTTCATGTCGGGAAATGTTAGGGCCGCGGGAGAGTTAAGGGGCAAGCTTATTTCGGAAAAACGTAATGCAGCTCGGTGATATGCCTGATGGGTGTGGATCTTGGCGCATCCCTGCAAACGCTTTGCATGGAGCGTCACAAATGGTAATACCGCAAGGGTTCGATGCAGCTGTTCACCAGTCATCCAGTGGCTACGGATGCACTGGGAAATCACATTTCCATAGAACACCTGTCTTGCTTTAGTCACGCTATTCGGCACGTCAGTAATTTGTTTTGTGTGGAGGCATTCGGGAAAATGAATTCTCTGGAGGTTGAAGCTGACGGTGGCACAACGCCTGTTGGGGTGACAGAGATCAGACTTCAAGATGATGTGAACAGAGTAGACTCGCAGTTGGTAGGAAGGCTCTATTTGTGAGTCAATTCGAAATTTGTAAATATATTGATGCGCCTATGCCGATCAGAAACGTATGACGACTGCAATGGTGGTCAAATACTTGACGCTAATCAGCCGGCCCGGAGTGTACCTCACTCGGTACCAGCAGAGGGATGGAAACGAGTCCACCTTGCGGCATGGTAGCTAGAAGGACCCACAGTTTGGTGGTGGCTGTACTAACACAAAGGGTTACGCTACCTGTAGGGATAGTTACAATCCAAGCCTTCCTACAGTCCCTGTTTTATCGGCTTGCGCCGAAATCGGCGGGCCTCGGGAAATGACAGAAGACTGAAGTGAGGAAATTCAATCGGTCGGCATACACGGAAAGGTTAACATTTACTCTGTACACGTCTTCACGTACACGGAGAGCTGAGTTGCCGTTAGGAGATCAAATTCGTGGAACCATGCTGCTTAGTGAGGAAAGAAGGCACACAAAGGAGAGGATGAGCCCCCCACGCATGTTGCGTTGCAGTGACGGGATCCCAAGAGGATAGCACCTCAGTTGAATAATTCTTCCAGATTAATCCTTAGCAGAACTAAACTTAAAGTAATGGATAATAATTTCTAATTTTCCTTGAAAGTTGATGTAAAGTGTTAACGGTATTCAAGGAGACGCCGCTAAACTGCAGTTTGTCCGCTTCCTGTCAAGCGCAGTCTTTGAGTCTCCTATTTGCAGACGGGAGGCAAAACGCAAGAAACGCTGTGCCTATGGCAGTTACATGCCCTGGAAAGTCGAAATTGGGTTTAGCACTATGGCCAACTACTTCAGCCTTCGACCTATGCACCATGACATAATCTTACTTATGCCATAGGTGGTCCGTGGAAGCTGCGCAGGTGGGCACAGCTACACACTCTGTAGTCCAAACACCTCTACAAAAAAGCAACGCCTGCCCTTCTTCACAACGGATTTCTGTGTGGTGAGCCTGAGGGAATTGGTTTTCAATAGCATGAGCGACATTTTTCATGCAACTGTGGTGAGTGCTTACTAGTGAATGCAATTGACGTTTCAGTTGAAGAACAAGAGGAATAGGCAGTATCAAGGAGAGCGTGGCAAATGTGCTGAATAATGGCGGGCTGCCGGCCCACTAGCACCATGCTGACCGTCCACCGCAACGCATCTAGCTGATTCCTGACTCAGCCCCAAGCTATGTTTTGCAGTATTAA